TGAAGTATATAGTTCCAAATATGTTCGGTGCCTAAGGTGCGATCTTTATGCAATTCAAAGAGAATAAACATTGCAAACAAATGTGTTTGTATACAAATGCTGAGGAGAATACTTGGGTATATACAAAAATTCTACTTTATGTTAACTATGTTTACTTTAAGCTAAACTTTAGCTGTAAATATTCAAGAGATGCCTTAAAAAAACTAGGCTAAAAACCAATTAGCTATTATTAGCTTATTATTCGATTACTAATCGTTTTGCTTATAAAATACATAATATGCCAAAATGAAATCAAATGTAGTTCTAAACTTACATATGCTTGAAATGCTTGTTGTTTATATATAAACACTTTAGTATACCCTATGTTAGCTATTTTTAATGGATGCTGGGTATGCACTGAGAGAAAAAACAAAAATAGACCATAAATAAAAACCACAAGCAGCAGCAGCAGCAGCAGCCAGCGACTGCGGCGGTACGCGGCAAAATAATGGAAAAAGTTAGTTTTGCATAACGCGCAGCGACTGCGGAGTTCGAGTCTCTGAGTCCAGCGCCACACTTGAAACTCTGTAAATGGGTGTCTGTGTGTGTGTGAGTGTGTGTGTGTGTGTGGGATGTGTGTGCCTGCACAGGACATGGAGTGGATTACAACAGCTGCTGTGGCCCCTAAAACAATGCAGCTAGGCAAAAGGCAAACGCCTGCATATCAGCAGGGGGAGTGGTGTGTGTGTGTGTAAGCCAGTTGTGGTTGCACACACACACACACATGCCAGCTACAGCCAAGGTTAGCATTTACAGCAGCAGAGCGCCAAGAAAATGGTGTAGAGAGTTTCTTTCTTTCTGTATTTCTTGCATATTTAGAGCAGCCGGCGCTGTTCTGCAACAGCAAGCGGACAAAGTTGCAGTTTTACTGCCAACTGCAACTGCAGTAAGCTGTTTGGGAGGAGGGAGGGGCGACGTGCCACCTAATGTTGCAGCACGAATCTCTCTGCAAAATCGAAAGTTGCATTGAACTTCTTGCTGCAAAGGGTTCTGTCGCCGCCGCCGGCTTGCGGTCTGCCCCGTCTTGTCGCCCACATTTCGTTTCGATTTATTTTATGACAAATGCACCACAAAAATTGCGAGTCAAAAATATTTGAGAGGTGGCAGCAAATTCTCTCGAACCGCTACCTAGAAACGTGCTGCAAATAGTTTCGCAATAAAAGCAACCAATTTGGGATGCAGTTTAGTACAGTAGTCACTTGTCAAAATGAACTCGCAATAGTTTGATTGGAGCAAGAATATGTTAGAGCAGGATACTCAGCTTGTGTTCTTTGTTTTTATTGCAAATCTTTAGCTGAAATCGGCTAGTGTTTATAAATAACATAACATAAAATATAAATAATGTAAATATAATATGAAAAACATAATATTTTATTTATTTATTCAGAATTTCATGATAAAATTGAAATACGCTCTACGAGGGTATTAAACAATTGAGAAAAGGTTTAACAGAAATTAAAATTGCTTTTAATTGTTTTCTTCTTTTAACATTTTTGAAATTGAGTTGTAAAAACATATTTTTATATTTTAAAGTATAATTTTATATTTTAGGTCGTTTTAAGAATTTCTTTCTTCACTTTATGAAAAAGTATTAAATCTTAAACTTCTTCTTACTTTCTTAAACTAAATCTTTAGTTTCTGCCTTTTCTATCTTAATCCAAATCTCACTCAATCTCACTTTTCTATCAGTTGTTTTTCTTATTAATTGTTAATGCTAATTGCTAAGCACTTTAAATTGTTTGATTACAAAATCCAAGAGATTTATGCAAAATACTTTGGCCGCGATTTCGTTCTAATTACAATTTTCAGCTCTGGCAGACACTTACAAACTTATCTAATTGTTGCCGCTGCGAATTACACGCATAATTTATTTAGTAGATTTTACACTAGAGTTCTGTTTTTTTGGTTTTTCTATATATATATAAATGTATGTATATTTTCTGGAAGCGCGAAACTTTGCACTTTTTTCTCACACACACACACACATATATATATACTTTTTGGGGTATTGGGTTTTCGCGCGGTTGAGGGGTGGCTGCGTAGAAAAACATGCTAATTGAATTCCATACAATAATTTCGCTATGCTTTATTCATTAGGCGCAGGAAAAACGCAATGCGGCCAGCAAACAAACAAACTAATTTGCATAATGTTAGGCACACACACACACGCACAAACACACACACACACAGCAGAAAATAACTAAATGAGTGAACAAAGTGAATGAATGAAGCCGCATTTGACAACTTTTATGGCCGAAGCTGGCCAAATGCAAATGAATTAAATAAATATAGAAAACTTTTTCAAAGAGGGAGGGAGAGAGAATGTTTGCCCAACAGTTTGAGGGGGAGCAGCTATTTACACCTAAATTTGCGGCTCACTTGGAAATCTTTTATCTTGAGACACTCGCAAACATTTTTCGTACACAAATAAATTCACATTTACTCAATGAATAACTTTGCAGCAAACTTGTTACGCAAATAAACTGCTTAAGACTTAAGTTTTTTATAAAATAAAATGTGTTTTTGGTTCATTTTCCGATTTGTAGACGATTCAGCTTATTTGCAACACACACTTCTTGCACCACATTTTTTTAAATATCTTATAGTTAGAAAATAAAATATGAAATATTAAAAAATATATATTCAAAAGAAAAAAGCAATCAAAACATTTAGCCAGAATTGTATTCGCTCGAACCAGCTGATTTGTAATATTTGAATAAGTCGTCAAAACCTAGAATTTATAAAAAATATTTATTTTATTTTGATTGGCGAATTCTAATAAATTCAGAGTATGCCAACTGACAGAGCTTTCGACCCGATCATATTAATGCATTTATTTATAATAAAATTTATAAATATTTGCATGTATTTATTACAAGACAGCATTTGTTCGCCATTTAAAACAATTTGAGTCTTAACTTCAATATCAAAAGCACTTTTTATAAATTTATTTTAATCTCAAAATTATTTGCAATGATACATTTTATTTCATTTAATTTATTAAATGCTAAAAATAGTAAATATATTACAATTGATATTGAAATTTAATTCATTTTATTTTTGAGAAGCTCCTTTTTCTTATGAATTTGTGTGTCTTATATTACAAAGCGACAGCGCTGCTAATATTTTTTTTTTTACTGTTAGTCGGCAGTAGGAATTGTAAAATTTTGAATGAAAATGATGTTTCTTTTTTTTTAAAACCTAAGTCAAGGCAGGTATCTTTCCAGCATTTTTGTAGTTAAATAATCTGACTGTTATATATCACATTTATAATGTTTATTGTTTTTAATAATATTAAAAACAATCTGGAAACTTACACACAAAAGTTTTGCAGTCGTTTTTTTTTCGTATATTTTGATTTTCAACAAACTGCAACATTTTTGTGCCTTAATTGCAAGAGGCAGTTTTGATAATTCTAGAGCTCAAACAAAACTTAGAAACAATTTTCATTATTAATATTATTTTTCCATAAATGTTAATACTCTGTTTTGATACTTTGTATAGTTTTCATTTATTTATTTTGAATTTATTTCTTTTATATTTTGCATTTGCGTATTTCATATTATATTATACATAATAATTTTTCGTTTTATCGTTTTAAAAATCTATTAAATTTCAGACTAAATATTTACAAAAAAAAATGCATTCCTTCAAGCAACAAAATTATGTGTATTTGCATTTCGAGTATTTGAGAAAATTGCAACAATATAGAGGAAATAAAAATACACGCAATTACGCGCTCTGCAAAATGAAAATAAAAATAAAACAAGGCGGCTGGCTGTGAGGCCAAAGGTCGAGGCTTTAACAGAATCGTTATAAGCCAGAGTCAGATAAGTGCCTGTTGTTGCCTTTTTCTCTCTCTCTGCGTGTGTGTGTGTGTGTACAAAGGAAGCGGCTACACGAATTGCCACTTAAAAATTCAAAAGTTTTGTGGCTGCCGCATATGGCAGCAGCAGCAGCAGCAGCTCAGCCGACGCCGGCAGCGGATGTGGCAGCTGGCAAAAAAAAAAGACAGAAGCCGGAAAGTTGCGCTCACAATTGCCTAACACAACAATAACAATAACAACAAAATGCGCGGCTTTTGGGGTTAGCCCAATACGCGGTTATATATATATACACACACACACACACACACACATACACATATATACAAATATACATATATTTGTTTATTCTTTTAAGGCCTTAACCCGAATTAAATAGCACAGAAAAACAGCTGAGACAGCGGGCTGTTGTTATTTTTTATTATATTTTTGGCAAATTTAATTTAAATTTTGTGCGATTTGCATGGCAAAGACTGGGAGAGGCACACGTATTACGCATTGTGCAAATATTTGTGCCCAGCCGGATGAAAAGCGAAGCGAAGCGCGCTGCTGTAAATTTTCCAAGTGCCGCGCACACACACACACGCGCATGCACACGCACGAGCTAAAAGTTAAATATGTATTGCATACTTGCAGGCGGCGGCAGCAAATTTACAGCTATCGCTGCATTTTGACTTGCCATAAATAAATCAAAAGCCGCAAAAGTTAAAGCACGCTTTACTCGAACCCCCCTCTCTTGGTTTACTTACCAGTTGTCAGTTTAGCTGCAGCTTCTGGTTACAGTTACAATTCTTTTGCACTGTTGCGGAAATGTATTCCGATTTTATTTTTGCACTCACCAACACACTGACACACACACGGACGCACGCACACGGACAGCGAGAAGCCGGCAGCGCACAGAAACGACAAAGCGCTCGAGACGACAATTTTGTGCGCTTTAAGAGCTGCTTTAAGACGAGGTTATTTTATAGATATATATTTTGTTTAATTTAATATTTTTTTAAAAACAATTAACGCGTTTTTTTTTCTAATTCAATTTGAGCGCTGTTACGTTTAATTTGCATGTGCGTTTTCAGCATTTGTTGTTGCATTTAAATAAAATACTTTTTGTTATTGTTGGTGCTTTGCTCATTTCAGCCAATCGCGTCGCGGCCGACGCAACGCGTGGATTCGCAGTCGCAGCTTAACAAATTGCTGACCGCACGATTCAGTGGCAAAACGAAGACTGAATTTGGCCAGTTGGCGCACTCGTTATTTTATACGCTCGCAGCCGATGCACACAAAAACACAGACTCGAACCCAATTTGAGGCTGTGTTGAGCAACAGAACTAAACGACGGTTAACAGCGTACACAGGACTAAAGCGTGGTGAGTTAAGTGGCTGTTAAGGCCAATTGAGCTGTTATTTCAATTTGACAATTAACATTTGATTGCTGGCAGCAGCTAAATATATATCACTTTGTTATTATTACTTTATTTGTATCCATACTTTATATATTTAACAATTTAGTAGTGTAAACAAATTAGCAGCTCTTATAAAACATATTTAAATGCCAGCACAGTACATAATACTATATGCCCGTCGCAACAGTATAACGTTTGAATTTAACAGCATTTGAGTTTATCCGCTTGCAGGCGCTCCTGCTATAACAGTGCTATAAAAATTTATCCGCTTGCCTAACATATCAGTTGCGTGTTAGCCTTCGCCTGTTGTCAGGGGTAGCATAGTAGCACAGTTTTGTTTGACGAAACGGTTAACATGCCCCTGCTGCTTAACAGCTCTGTGCTCGCTAACAGCTGCACTTTAACATGCCGCTGTTATGCTAGCCACAAGCATTTTGCAAACTATTTAAAACTACATAAATTTTATATTGAAGATGTGCCCTCATATGAGCACAAAAAAAATGTCAAGAGTTAGCGGGCAAAAAAATGCTAAAAGCAGCGCATAAATAACGACACACTGCGCACGTTAGAATATATATGTATGTGTATATATATATATATATATATATATATATATATTACTCGGGTCACCAGCGTCGACGAGAAATAAATTGTATTTAGTTGGGCAATTTATGGGCAGCAGCAGCGGATCGAGCTGAGTTTACACACACACATGCATAATTCAAAGGCATGTCGATGGCTGCATTTGCAGTCAGCGGGGTTCAGTGCTGCCCATTTTTTGGACAGCAAAAAATAGCTAGTTCTAAGCGATGTGGTTAAAAAAAAGCAGTTAAGTTTTATAAGAAAGAAGAAAAAACAAGGCATTTATTTTAAAATAAATGTGCATAAATTATAAATCTTTGTAAAAAAAAAAATATTTGTAAAATGAACTAATGTTCATCTTAGCAGAACTTGAACTGTGGAAGTGTCGGTTATTACCTCAAGCGATATTTCATAGTATAAAATATTTATGTCAAATATATGGCAAATATATGGCAATTTTTACTCGCTTTGTGGAACCTTTAAATAAAAAATAAAAAATATATATATATATTTGCCTGTCATCTAGAGTCTGTAGCATTTGTACGGCAGTTTCTTGAGCCGTAAGAAGCTCACTTCATAGACAAATGTTGATAATACTGCAAAAAATGATTAGTTAGAGCTTTCCCTAAAATAGATAGCATGATTTTCTCTTGTTTATGTTAACAATTAGCAAACCTATTTAAGAAGAAGAGTTATAATAATGAATAACATTTACCTCTAAAAAAAAAGGAGTCGAAATGGGCAGCACTGGCGCACTGTCGGTACCCGCTTGACGTTTATTTTTGTTGTTGCGGGAAGGCGTCGTCTTTGTTTCACTTGCTTATTTTGTTATTTTCAAATTATTTATTGCACACGCGGGTGCGAGTTGGTGCGAGGGCGTCGAGAGCGGGGAGGGGGGATCACAGAGAGCAATGGCTAATGTGTAATTCAATAGAGTAAATAATGTGCATCAATTTTCAGCTCAATAACGCATGGAATACAAATGCGAAACATGTGCAAATATGTGCTCACACACACAGGGAAATAAATATCAAGCCACACAGCACTCACTTCATCTTGCCCTCTCCCTCACACACACGCACACACACACACACACACAGACATTACGACATTGTGTGACGCGCTTCCGTTTCCGTTTTTCTCGGCTGGCGAGCAGCCACATTGTTTGCTCTTTGTCTTGGCAGCTCGCAGCTCTTTAGCCGCGCTTATTTGTTTTCGATGTTGTCTTTGCACACACACACACACACACACACACACACACACACACCCATACACAAACACACACATCTCCCTCTCAAGCACGTGGCATAGGAAAAATTGCATTGGTTTCGCAATTGTTTTCCTTTAACAGAATGTTAAATGTGTGTGCGCGTGTTTTTCTTGCAAAGATCGTGCCTGGAAGCGTCTGGAATGCCAGTGGAAGGCAGGCTCGCTTAGACCCTGCCTGATTAATGTGCGTCTTTCAATTGCGTGCAAATGCATGAATTTATGAGCAGCTCGGCACTAAACAGCCAAAATGCAGCAGCAACTGCAGCAGCTGCATTGTGACAGCCAGGCCAAGCCAATAATAACAACAAGCAGCTGGTTGGACCAGAGTATCCGACCGGCAGATGCCCTGTAGGTAGAAGTTATTATGATTACCACGCGAAGGAGAGGACATCTCAAAGCCCTTAAAGTATATATATACTCGATTAATATCAACAGACGAGTTCATACAGTCCCGTTCGTTCCTTCTGTCCGTCGAGTGTGCACAATATACCCAACCCACTTGCTGTAGTCACATTCAATATGTACAGGGTATAAGCAGGCAAACAAAACGTAACAAAGCAAATTTACATCGCCTAAGACCTAGACCTCTTGTGACGAGCCTTGTTAACTGGCAACTGGCAACTGGCAACGGGCTAAGACCGACAGGTCCTGCAGCTGTTGTTGTTGTTGTTGTCCTCTTTGCCTTTGACTTCTGTTTGCTGTTGCCTGTTCTGGACATGGCCAAATGCAGGTTTTTCCAAATTTGCCGCTTTATGTGGCAGCTGAGTAATTAACACAAAACTTGTTAACTGGCTCGAAAGCCCTCAAGCCTTCGATTACATGCACAATTTGCACGAGTTTTGTGTTTAATTCTGAAGGATTTTTGGCAAAGCCACAGCAGAAGCCATCAAGCATTCTTGCAGCAACTCTGTGGCATGTAATAATAACACCTGAAGCACAAAAGTGCACGCACACAAATTATGTTCAAGGAGTTTGTGAATTCAGTTGCATTGCAATGTCTTGTTTCGGTTCGATTAAAAATTGTCTAATTGAAGAACAGTTTTACATAATTAATAAGCTATTTTTATTGCACAATTGTCGTTTGTTTAATTCGTAATGCAGCTTTTCAACTGCAGCTTCAATACTGCTGTGATCTTCACACTAACAGTTCAAGTTTATGTAAACATACATTCACTCTTTACAGAGGATCAGCTGGTGTTATTTAACAGAGGATCAGCCAAAAACATCTCTGCTTAATGCTAAACTGCTGTTAAGCGCGCCATATTCTGAGCTCCCTTCTTGAATTCTAAGAGAACTGTAGAGATACTTTCCTTTTATAGCCTGTGCCGCTCAGACACACATACATTGCACCTTCCCCTCCCCATCCCTCTTTTGCTCTCCATCAAACCGCCGCGGGTCAATTCGTACTAAGCACATGCTATAAATAACCTTAGCCTGCAATTTATATCTGTATCTGGACATTATCACTTTTACGGCTAACTTGTTCGCCGCACTTGCAGTTAATTAAAAAATCTTGGCCAAGGATTTATATTGGCTAATTGGATTTAGCGCCTTCTGCCTTGGGCGCGGGAACCACACGTGAATTTCAATTTCAATTGCAATTTGTAGGGAGTTGTGGGAGGGGGGGGGGGGGTGGTGGTGGTTATAAATATGTGTGAGTATGTGTCAGGGGGTATGTGTATATGTTAGCATTTGATTGCCTGTCGCGAAGCCAAGAGCCTGCAAGTGCTTTATCAACTCTCCCTCTCCCGATCTGCCACACCTTACATCTGCGTTTTACTTTTTCTAGCTACTTACACACACACACACACACACACACATTAGACACTTTTCACAACTGCAGCGGGCTCATAATTTTTCTTTCCACTCCGGGAAAATTGCTTTCCAGCTATGAATTGCGCTGCTAAACGTTTCCACTTATTAATTTGTTTATTATTCACATCTAATCACTCGCACTCAATTCACCTCACCCCTAAATCCCCCCACCACCCCCCTGACTAGCACTAATCCATACAAACGCTTAACATTCAGCGCTGCTTACTGTATCTCTCTCTCTCTCTCTCTGTCTGTCTCCGTCGCACGCTCTCTCTTGCTGACAGGCAACAACAAATGTACAAAAATTTGTTAACATCAAAAAGTACATTAAAGGCTCAAGGAATGCGCTTTCGTGCGGAAATTGCTTACGTGCGCGGCATTAACAAATGACATGCTGTATGCGACGGCCAGCAGCGTATAAGACCAGAACTCAACCCCGTCTCCCCGCCCGCCGCAGCCTAATGCTAGCTGCCTTTTTGGGGTTGCGCCTGTTTCGTGTGTGTGGAATGTGTGGAACTTGTCGCTTTGTCGCCGAGCCTTCAGCCATTGGCCAGCGGTGTTGAGTTTGTGCGCGCTGCCTGTTGTGCTCCTTTGCGCAGGCTGGCGGGAGCAACAAGTGTGTTGAGTTTGTGGCGGCAACAGTGGAGACTTTTTGTAGAGCTATGTTAGCCTTAACAGTGGCATGTTAAGGGTTGTTGGCTGAGGTTGGGAGGGTGGCTCGCTGCAGCTACTCAAATGGCAACAAAATAATTAAAAAATTGCAAAAGGCAGAAAAAAACGACAACCAATAAAAACCATACGAAAAATGTCAATTGTAACACAGAATGCAATGCGAGCCAAAATGCAGCCGGCTGCGCTGGCAGCGTCGCTGCTGTCACTGGCGAAAGCTTTTCACGTTACAGCAAACGACAAAGGCAAAAGGCGACGCCCCCTACCCCGCTGCTCCCTTACCCGCCCACTTACATCTCAGTTTACACACTTGCAGCGCCAGTTGCTGTTTTAATAATAATAATACCCTGTAGAAAGTATTAAATGGGTATAGCAATTAAAAAGTTAATAATTAATAATATAGTTTGATATATGTACGTAAATATTTTGGAACAGCCACAAATAATTCTCAAATTTTCAACGTAAATTTCACAGCTGTAAACTTGCCGATAACATTTCTGTCTGCTAAGCTGCTTTGAGTTGTAATTTCCAAGTGGAACACACATGAACTATCGAATCTCTTATATATGAGAGAGTCTTGGCATTAAAATTATCAATATATCAATATTTATTTAAAAATTTTAGAATAT